GGGGGGGGGGGGGGTGTTAGACTTCCGAATAGAAGATGTGTAATCACTTGAATTTAAGGTTCCAATTTTATTTGGTGGATTTTATTTGGCGATTTTTTAATGGTGTCTGTATATTATTCTCTCAAAATTTTTATATAAGGGATCAATCGAATTTTATGAATTTTTTGACGAATACAGTCTTTAATAAGCTCTCTTCATTGACACCAATTAAAATTTAATTTTTCATACAGATTCAAAAAAAATTGATATTATCACAAAAATCACTGATAGAACCACACACTGATTAAACTTTGCTTGAACCCGAACTGAAAATGAATTCGAGTCTTGAGAGGATTTGAATGTAGAATTATTTGACAGAACGAAATAATATGAAAAATGTTGATGACATTTCAATTGATGATAGAATTGTGAAACGGAAAAATTGAAGAAGAGAATAGTGAAATAAGAATTTTAAAAGAATTCCCATTCGATTAGCAACAACTATACTGAATTATTTAAAAAATGTCATTATCGATCTGTTTTTTCCGGTAATATTGAGATTACTTGGAGATGAAAAAGAATCGCGCAAACCCGTAATTGAAGGAGAATCACCTGGCAATTGAAGAAGACTCCCTGATCAATCAGGGAAATACAAACTTCGTGTTCAATTGGTTTTCCTTAAATTTGTTATGATAACAAGTTCCTCCAGCGCGATCGACAGAATTTTTATTACCAATATTGAAATTATCCCGAATGAAGTTATCCATCTGCTGAAAATGTTGATGCTGTTATCGAACGTCTTTCATATTTTCATGCAATTTCCGTAGCTCGACCCCAGAGACGCGAGGCCCCATCCCCTCGTATTATGTCACCAATGGGTTTTGCTGTACATCGTCAGATTTATGCTGATGACATTGAGTATGATGATTATTCAACAACTGTTGAGGATCAGACGATAAAGCCCGTGCCAATTTGGCTGTGTGTTTTTTTGGTTGTAAGTTACATACTGGCTGGTGCTGTCTTGTTTATGAGCTGGGAGCACTGGGAGTTTCTGGATTCAGCTTACTTCTGCTTCATCACACTCACCACCATTGGCAAGTTATTCAACCGCACTTCATTCTCTGTATTTATCTTTCGACTCTCTGGTGCATCAATGGTTAATTACTTTTCTCATTCGTTCGTATTTTATTTTCCTTACGAGTGGAAGCATTGTAATTGTTCAAATTTAACTTTTGGATTTTTAATATGCCATTTTTAGAGCCAGTGTTGAGCCATATTCATCGAATGTAATTAAAATTTCATCCATATATTATATTTTTTAATTTAATTTCTTTTTAAATCGGTTATGCCACCATAACTCAAAAAAACGTTCTGAATTCTTTGAATGATGGCTTAAAAAATTCCTTGAATGTCTCTTCCGTTGTTTGATTTTTAGAATTATTTTTGTAAATTTAGAATTTTTCGTAAATTATTCTGCAACTGAACTTTCCGATGACTCCTTCAAATACGATGTTTGTTCATTCCATAAGATAGAATCATTCTTCAATTCGATTTATAAAATAGTTCGGAAATTACTCTCACAGCATTAAATTTTTTTTAGATTTTTCATCTTTTGGAAAATTCACTTCCACTGATGAATGGATGGTATAGATATATATTCCTTCATATTTGAAACTTCATTGAATTTAATAAAATGATATGAAACGATGAATTATATGTTAGAGAAGCAGACGATGCAAAATGACCATTCGGAAGCATATTGCTAATTGATTACCTCAAAACTATACTATATTAATACAAGTGCAATTTCCCACTCATTCCTTTCTTCATCTCCTATTACAACAGGTTTCGGGGACTTTGTGCCAGCCCACAAACTACCCAACTATCCGGCTCACATGGGAATAGCATTGTGCTCTCTATATCTTCTATTCGGTATTGCTCTGCTAGCCATGAGTTTCAATTTGGTTCAGGAGGAAGTAATAACTAACGTCAAGACTGTTGCTAAGAGGCTTGGTATAATAAAGGACAAGGAGGACGAGGATGATGAAGAAGATCCAGATGATGAGAATGTTGACGTTGAGGAAAGTTATGAGGATGGCAATTATGAATGTGAATACGGTGTTTATCCTTCTACTGTGAGGGGACGTGAGTGTTACCGTGATGAGGTGGATCAGGGTCACGATTATGAGACAGCGTAGAATTTTGGGAATATTGAAAGGGGGCAGGATAAATAAATATGTGTTATTGGGTCTGAGGTCAACTGCATTCTTTCGTTAATATTTATCCCTGTGAATTTTCAGGTTTTTTGTAATGGATTTTATTAACCACCATTTGGTAATAATTAATGAATTAATTAATAGTTGGAAAGCCTGGTTAACAGAAACAAAATCGTCTTCATCTTTTCTTTTCGATAAATTCAGGAATGAATAGTCTTCAATTATCTTAAATTCGGTGATTTGGATTTCAAGACATTACGAAAACGTTTAGTTTATGAAATTTCTTAAATTAAGACGTCTTGAAGCCACTAGTTTTCACAGGGGATGAAGCAGAATTTGGAAACTAGTTGGGAAAATGAAGAAAAAAGCATTTTCTCTCAGAATAATATTAAAGATTTTTACGCCCTTCTGATCCTGCAATGACCATGTCTGAATTCATTTGACATCCCCACCCTCATCGCCCTTCCGACCCTCTCAATAAATTCCGGACGACATCAGTAGATAAGACACACTTTTGCGTCTAACAACCTAAATTAAGACGTCTTCAAAACACTAGATTCTCCAGTGCATGAAGCAGAATCTGAAAGAAATTAAGATAACAAGGATAACAGTATATTTCGATACGAGTGGGTAAAAGTGTTTTTGTCCCGCGGGATGAGTGCGAAAAATTACACTTTACGACCAAGTCATGAAAAATTATTTTTTCCCAGCGTAATATTAAAGATTGTTACGGCCTTCTGATCCCGCAATGATCCTGTTCGAATTCATCTGACGTCCCCACCCTCATCGCCCTTCCAACCCCTCAATAAATTCAGGACATCAGTAGATAAGACACTTTTATGCCTCCCATCCAAAATTAAGACGTCTTGAAGCCACTACTGTTTTACCACGCTAAACCCCAAATCACAAAGCGCCGGTTCCCACTCCCATTCCATTCACCTTCTTCCCACTTATACATCTCTTTATTTCTGCACTAATACCACCACCACAGCCATCATCTCCAACTGGCCGTGTTAACTCTGTCTCTTGTCTCGTCTCTGGGCCGTTGCTTGTAATTTTAGAAATGCTCTATTTTCGAGTTAGTGTGCCGACGGACAGAGTCGCACAGTGTCTGAACAAAGACAGACTAGACCCACTCAATTTTTTATAGTTATAACGAATAACTCGTGGCACTGGTTATGCAGGGGAGATACAGTCTCCAGTGGATAAAGTTCATCTTCGGTTGGTGGGACACTCGACAGATACACTTTGTTACGGGTGCTTTTTATCAATTGGTTTTTCCGTGTTTTCCCCTTATCGTCCAGAGTCTCGTAAACGCCTTCCCCTTCGACCTAGGAGGGGCTTTCTCATTTATTGGGGTCTGAGGGAGATTTATTTATTTATTTTTCCTCATCTACACCTTTTTAACATCGATAAACCAATCCCCGGGTTTTTTTTTTCGAGGAGGATCGAGGTCGTCGAGCGGTCTGACTGTTCCTTCTGCGGGGGAATTATTTTTTTTATTTCTTATTTACTCGATTGCTCTCTTATTGTCACTGTGCGTCGATCGTGATCGAGTTCACGTGCTGATTTCCTTTTTCAAGTGGAAGTTGACGACTGAATTTTCGTCTCTGTCGACTCGGTTTCCATTGAGGTTTTTCCAGGAAAAGGGAAGGGGAGGGAGAATTGATGAGGTACTGGGGACCATGAAGAGGATGGAGAGGATTTTGAATTTCGGGTGAAAATGGAGGAATCCAGGACATGGAGCCAAGCACCTTCGACCTCGGTACGTGGACGAGTGCTGGATGGCCATGAGGCCTGGAGTAATCGTGGCGCTTCGATAAAACGACAGCGTGGTACTAGTAGGAGAGAGTGGAGGGACAGGCGGAGGAGAAAAAGGCGAAAACCATTCAGTGAAAAAGTTGCTGACTGGTTCCGGGCATTTCTTGCTTTTTTATTCAGCAATGTGGGAATTGTTTGCTTAGTGATTGGTTACACCGTAGCTGGTGCCTTCATTTTTGAATTTATCGAGAGTGGAAATAGCAGGAGAATTGGAAGTGGGTATTTTATACCCAGAACGAGGAATGACACGGCTGGGGTATTGTGGAATTTAACTTATAAGGTAAATTTTAGAAATTGTTTACTTGGAGGAATTTCTTTTTCTTGGATTTGATTTGGGGCTGGCATTTGGTGGAGGAAGTTTGGGGAGATTGTGAGGGTAATTTTTAGTAGGAATTTTAAGGAATCGCAGCGAAATTTTTAGTAGCTTCGTCGATTTTGGAATGTTGACAAAACTACTTTGAGGAAATTGTCTTTATATGGAGAAAAAAATTGTCTTTCTTTTGAGAGTATTCATTTCATTAAAAAAAATTTATGCTATTGAAGGTTTATAGATTTCACTTTCGCTGCTGAAGCATTTTATTCAATTTAAATTTATTGAATCCGATTAAATGTCCTTTGGATTTATTGTAGGAATTTTAGGGAGATTTCGGGAATATTGTTTTCCGATCAATTTTACGGAATCTCAACGGGGTTTTTAGTAAGTTCCGACGTTTCAGAATTTTGTAAACATTACTTGAAGGAAATTGTCTTTATATCCACAAAATAGGTGTCCATGTTTTTTAAATTATTTATAATAAATTTATTTATATAAAAGGCTGTTAGTTTGAAATTTCATGGTAAATCGAAAAACTTATCTAGTTTTCTAGTTGTGAATAAAAATTTTGATGCCAAAAAATCAGAATTGAAGAAATTGTCTTCATATGAGAAAAGTAACTGTTGCTATTTTCATATAATTTGTTATTTGTTTGAATTAATTATCTGGGAGATATGGCTACATGTGGAGGTATGACTTATTCAATAGTGTATTTGTATTACACTCATTGCCTCCGATGGGCGTTTGACGGGAGCTATTATCAGCAAAGATTGATTAATATTATAAAAAAAACTCAATCAAAAAAATTTTCATCAGTCAGTGAGAAAACCTCATTTAGTCTTCTAACTGTGAATAAAAACTCGTAATTAAGCATGAATAAAATCAATTTTATTACGTTTAAAAGTTATATTCTACTGGAGAAAGTTTACGGAAGAGATTTTAGATTAATTTTATCGGAGATTATAGCTTTCGAACGAAATTTTTTAGTAATTTTATAGAATTTAAATTTCATCGGAATGAAATTAGCGAAATTTTCCTCTCTACGAAGAAACAAACATTCCGAGACAATTTTTTATATTTAAAAAATGACGTGAAATGAAAGGTTTTTACTTTGAAATTTCTCGCTGAATAAAATGCAAAAACAAAAAAGACCACCTCGCCTGCCCCAATCATTGTAGATGAATCAAAGAATTGTTTATTCAACAGTATATTTGAATTACTCTCATAGCCTTCGATGGGCATTGGCCTGGGGCTATCGTCAATAAAGAACGATAAATGTTACGAAAATAAATTTCACCGTGCGAATAAATTTTTCCATTAAAATTCTTCTAGAAATCCTCCAATCCGGAAAAATAAAGCATGCAAAAAAATTCATTCAGTTTCCCACTCATGAATAAAAGCCCATAATCCCCACTAATTTACCCCTCCACAATACAAAACTAAACGACTAAATCATCCGAATTTTTTCATAAATATCACAATGATAATTCGAGTATAAATTCTCCTCCCCCAATTTTCTTGGAATATTTCAGTGCATAATATATTCCGGAAATTTGTATGCACTTATTTGGTACAACGTATCTGCTCTATTTCAGGAGAATATACTTTCCGAGAAAATGTGGGAGGGCAAGGTGGATAAAAACATTGCATTTTTATCAATAAATAATTGAAATTGTTTAAATTTTCGAAAAGCTTTTTGTCTTTAGACACGAAATCAATGTCTGGTAAAATTCTGAATTTCATATTCAGAATTTTACCACTATTCTTAATTTTTTTTAATGAATAAATGATTTTTATGGTAGAAAATTAATTGTTTATAAATTATTTACAGAAAATATTCGTAAGTTTCAAAAATTTAAATTTTTAAATTACTCTCATAGCCTTCGATGGGCATTGGCCTGGAGCTGTAATCAGGAAAAAGCGATAAATATTACAAAAATAAATTTCAAGAAGAATAAAACAGTAAAAAAAATCATTCAGTTTCCCATTCATGAAATAAAAGCCCATAATCACCACTAATTAATTCCTCCACCCCAGTACAAAACTAAACCACTAAATCACTCGAATTTTTCCATAAATATCATAATGCTAATTCGCGTATAAATTCTACTGCCCCAATTTTTCTGGAATACTCCAGCGCATAATATATTCTGAAAATTTATATGCACTTATTTGGTACAACGTATCCGCTTTATTTCAGGAAAATATATTCTCCGAGACAATATGGAAGAGCAAGGTCGATAAAATACTGCTGAATTATCAGAAAACTGTAATTGACGCTGTGAAAAGTGGATGGGACGGTACAGACTCGGACAATCGAAAGTGGAGCTTTGCCGGTTCTTTTCTGTACTCTTTAACCGTCATAACGACCATTGGTGAGTTAAATTATGGCCGTGACTATGAAGTAGGGGGGATAACGCCTTTTTTTTCAGGGGAGATTTTTCAAAAATTTATTTTGAAAAAAGTCCTAACTAGCAAATGTTTTTTATTAGCTCGCAATTTTTTTCAAAACTACTTCAATGAGGAAAAAAATAAAAATTTGGAATATCTATACATGAGGGGCTAATTGATCGGATCTCATAGTTTCCGAGATAATCGCAAAAAACGAAAGTGCAAAAAAAAATTAATTTAATTCATCTTGTATAAGGCCTAGGAAGTGGAAAAACGCAATTCTGAGCCATCCA